TGTCGTGCATTATATTAAGTCAATCTTTTCACCATCACTTCCTAGAACTTCGTTTGAAATTTAAATTGGAAAAGGTTATTTTTCGAAAAGCTCCTCCATCTTTTCCAATAGCCTTGACCAATTTTCATCTTCCTCAAATGCTTGGTCAGCACTCCGTTTTTTTTTGTTCATATGATAGGCTTCTTCAAGTTGTTTAACCTTTTTTCTCCTCTATTTCATTTCGATAGCTTCTTCTTTTCAACTTTTCTTAGAACCATTTATCTTCTTTCTCAACTTCTAGAACCATTTATCTTCTTTCTCAACGACTAGAACCAGGTTAATTTTATTCGACAACTTCATAGAACCAATTTAACTTCTTTTTCATTTTTTTTCAACTTTTTTCCGTCGATAGCTTCATACATTTCAACTTCTTTTCTAGAACTATTATCTTCTCTGGTTTTGAAAATCATAAGTAGGTAAAGGTTCTTAAAGTATATAACTAGGGATGGGAACGATTGTTCATAGGACCAGTCTTATACCAATCTTTTTTTGGGACGGATCGACAGGATTGATCATAGGATCGGTCTTTTTTAAGGATCTTATAAAAGATGGTCTTATCGTCTTAACTGCCAAATTGGCATCTCTCATTTAACGTGTTCTAATCCTAACTGCCCCTTAGTGCTGAATTGAGGAGGCTTAGAAAGAAGCTAAGTTTTTAGTAGTGGATATTTTAACTTATAAACTCAATGGCTTAGAAGAAGTGGTTAATTTAAGTATAAGTATCGAGATGGTAAAGAAAGTTTAGTAAGAAGAAATAGACGTGTTTTTACGTGTTACATTTACGCTTTTTTAAACTATATAAATGATTACATCCTGAAACAGCTAAAGCATGCCTTTGTTTAAAGAGTTGGATTCAAAATGGATTATTGAAGAACAAATTAAATATGGAAATTGAAAAAAAAGTGAAGAGTCGAAGGGTGAAATTATAGTAGATTAGTAATAGTAATTTTGAAATTTTTAAAAACATTAAAATATTTTTTCACGGCATATTTGTTAAATTTTTTTATTGGAGCGACGGTCTAAAAGACCGGTCTAAATTAAAAGACCGATGATCTTATGAGACCATTGGTCTCGGTCTCGATCTGATCTTTTTCAAAGACTGCTAAAGATCGGATCAGATCGGACTGGATCGGACCGTTCCAGCAAACAGGAGTGATTACCTATTTTTAGAACAGATGTTACACAATTCATTCAAGAATAATTTATACGTCTTACAATACTTTAATTGAAGTGCTTGTGTAGCCTATCCTAACTATAAATGCATTAGATAGTGGTTTGAAGTTCTTGCATTGTAAAATAATTTTTAAATTGAATCCATTTGAATCTAACATATCTGACAAAAAGAAGTGCAATGAATGTCAAGTTACAGAATCAATCAGATTTCAACCATTGAAAGAAAATAAGCAGAGAGAAGTTGAAAGTAAAGGTTTAGCAAAAGTAATGTAGGAAAAAGGTATTATTTTGTGTAATTCTTGTTATATGCATTTTGTAGAAAATCCATTTAGAAGAGATTTTAAGTGAAAGAAGAATATGAAAAAAAATGTAGTTTGATGCTTGAACTTTCTGAAGCTATTAAGAGAATGGTGAAATTTCTTTATAAAAAAGAGTATGTGAAGATAGAAGAACCTATTTATATATTTGATAAATTGCGAAAATTATTAGAAAAGAAAGATTTCACTTTGAAGAACTTTTAAAGGAACTTTATTTAGTGGCTAAACCTTTCAAATGAAATAATTAAATAATGAATTACATGAAAAAGGTAATGGTTTTCATCTGCTATTTGCTTGCTTCATTGAATAATACTAAAATTAACTCTTTTAAGTTTAATTTAGCGTATTATTTAGATTCATCAGAAATAAGTAATAAAGGCTTGAATACTATGGCGAATCTTAGGATAACTACTACATCAAAGGCAGTCAATCGTAAAAAAAATCATGTCTGATACATATGAAGAATATGTGAAAAATGCTTTTAATTATATTCAGAAAGTATTCTCATACTAAATATAGATGATTACCATAATATTCATATTTAATAGCAGTTTAATTTTACTGAAACTTCCTAGGCTATACATATGGCAACAATTTTAGCAAATTTATACTTGACTCCAGCAATGCTATGTAATGAGATTTTTATTCTTATGTTTTTGGATGGTGAATTAATTACAAGACATATTGATAGGTGATTTATCGTGAATCTTAGTATTTCTTATAATAGACGTATATGACATAATGCAGGAGAATGTTCTGACAAAGAATTGATAAATAGACTAACTATATATAGCTATAATGATAAAATTGCAGAGAAAAAAACTGATTGCTATATACATGATTCTATCCTATTCAATTTTGTTAAAAGCAGCTTAAAAGATATTAGAGGATATATTAATGCACTTTAAATTGTATATGACTAAGAGCTGATGTAAGAATATCTGTTTAATTATGTAATTTCTATTATTGTGAACTAACCTGGCCAGTTTTTTATTCATAAAGCTATTGTACAATAGGTTCTTCTTAAAAATAAAAAAGTCTCAGAATTTTTAATGTCCTTTTTTCTTATGATAGGTCTTCTCCATATATCTTTGAATGCTTAAGAACTAATATTTGTGAAGAATTCGTCTTTGTTTAATGAGATATACAAAAGTATATTCAGAGTGTGTAAGGAGCTTGGTATAAAATCACGACCATAGAGAATCGATCTGATGTTATATGTATACATATGATATAGCTTGATATAGCTAATGCCGTTTATTCCAAATTTGATTATATATGTAAGAATATCAAATATATGTATTTGATTGATTTTTTTTCTAATTTGATTCCTCTTGTTCTTAATGTTTATGCAGTTCATTATTGTGGAGGTAATTGGTCAGCTTATAAAGAAGCTTATATAAGGTGTTGGAATGATCTTTTCTTTCAATTTGATAGAAGAAATTACAAACACACGTCATTAATATTTTTTTCTGATATTTTTTATTAAATAAAGAATATTCATCTGATGATTAACATCATTACTAATTATCTTACTTCTTTGAGTGATAGTTCTATAAAAACTGCTTATAGCATTATTCGAAGACATATAGCGAAATTTTTTATAACTCAATAATTACGGAAGAAAGTACACTTCATTTTTCAACAACAATATAATAATTCATTTCAATAGCATTTCATATATTTCGTAAAGTATCTATATATGCTAAAATAATTATGTAAAATTACTCAAAAGTATGCTATATTGCATTTAGAGGCATTTTTTAAAATATATCAAATGCATGATCACATTCCTTTGCTTATTAAATCCTCATCTGATGCTATTAATACTTATAAACTTCCTTTATTAAGTTATAAAATTATAGATCAACATTTTTCAAGAGGCTTTGTTACTTCTAGAAAACCTAATATGTTTATATTATATAGTCAACTCTTGTTATAACAAACTCTATGTCCTAGACCTCAACTTCGCTATAAGGCTATAGTGAAGATTTTAAAAGATTTGATTAGCCAATTCACTATAACAAGAGTATTTTTATTATATTTGTTCAAAAAATTCGTTATATCAAGAATTTACTATAACAAGAGTTGACTGTATAATTTTATATACTATAATTGGACTAATGATCGTTTTGATGGTAATGTTTTAGCTTGTAGGCATAGTAATATATAGGGTTATGAATGGTTAGTATAATAAACATTTAACTTATCTATGATTTTATTAGTTGAATTTTGTAATAGTCATTTTTGAAATATCACATAATTAATTAATTTTGATTAACACAAAATTGATTATCATAAAATTATCAAAAATAAAAAGGTTAGTTTTAGACTATTAAAAAATATTTTTTGATTAATTTTTTATATAAAAATTCCTGAAATAACATTAAATCAAAATATAAAAATATCAAATTTTTTATAATAATTATAAAAATTAGAAAAAAAAAGTAGAAAATTAAAAAGGAACTTGCAATATTAAATTAAAAAGTAAAATTATAAATGCATTATATATCATACATTTAAACTACTACCTAATAATATTTGTGATTAATGTGTCAAATATTCAAATGTTTAAATTAAGAAGAAGATATAATATTTGTAAGTGATTATACTTTTTATCATAAATATTTTTTATAATAAAATAATAATTGTAAAGAATTCTATAAAAAATATGTTATCTTTAATGTAAAATCCTATATAAAAAGATTATAAAAAGATGTTAATATTAATAATAGTTTATTAGATTATGAAATATTAAATAATAAAAAAGCAGCAATAATAAAAAAAATATTGATAGACTTTAAAAAATATTATAAACTTGATAAATTATAAGTTATTAAATAAAATATATTAATAATATATAAAATTTTAATCTTAAAATTTTGGCTTTCATCTAACTTTCTTAAGAGCAGAAATCTTCAAATATTTTTTTATCCAAATGTAAAGAAAGAAATGAATGATATATCAATATAAAAAATTGCACATCGATAGATTAGTTTTTGAAATATTATTGATTTTTTTTTATTATGTTAAATCAATTGAAATTGAATATTATATAATATACACAGGTCAAATAAAAAAATATTATGTAATCAGACTTCAAACAAATATCAGAATAAAACCAGAAATTGATATTTACCAAAACTTGATTTAGCCATATCAGGTAAGCTTCAAATAGCTATTATTATATGATATTTAGCTATAAAACCTAATATTTACAAAGAAAAATCAAGTAAATTCTGGAATTTTATTAGATCACCTGATAAATCTTATGTTTTGTAACTTTATAGACCTAATAAATGACTTGATATGCTACTTATACAGTTAACTCTAGAATTCTGAATTTGACTTAATGAATCAGATAACCTGACGGGTTGACCCAAAAATTTAGGTCAGATCTACAATTTGATGATCTGACATTAGGTCGGGTCAAGTTCTTAATCTGATCTGTTAGATCCATAATAAAATTTACTAACTATATTATTAATTGATCATCAATCTTTTTTTTATCATCTTTTTTTTCATGTCTTGAACACTTTATTCTCAAGTATATAAAATGTCTAACAAAAAATTTTCAAAACGTTCTCATTACAAAATTAATTCAGACTTAAAAGAGAACACTCCTAATAAAGAACTCAACTTAGATAAAGAAAGTAGTGGATTTTCAAAAAAATTAAATTCTGTTTTAAGTTTACTAGACAAAAATGATAAAAAAATAAAAGTGCTATGTAGGACTATTTTGATAAATTTG